GACAATCCTTGATCCACTTGAAATTTGTGATAAAGAGTAGATAGGCTTTCAGGGATAGTGAGGGTAGAGATGGAGATGTGCTAGAGTGTGTGCACATGTGCGTGTGTATTGTTTGGTCAAGCATCAGTCTTTGGTAAGAGTATTTCTATCATACTTAGAACTACATGATAATTTCTACTTGATCTCATCTAAATGAAACAACTGAGTTTTTGAGTTCCAGCTGGGCCATAGCCTCATCAAAAAATCTCATCATCCTCTTTGAAATACCTACTACTTTGCCTACTGTGACTTTATGAAACCCTTCTGATTAGTTCAAACAGCTGACTTGCTTTCAATATAATAAGATGATTCCTTTCTAAAGATCTGTTTCTATTGTAGAAAGCTGATATATCTGGCTTGGTACATATCTGAGATGTTTAAATATAAGTGAATGTGTTCTCTCATCCTTGATTGATTGTTTCCTTCTTTCTCTACAATATTTATTTCCTTCCCTTCTTTTCCTGCTCTTCCACCTTTCTTTTGGTTCTTTCCTTGATTTTACCTACATGCTGACCCCAGTTTTCTCACTAAAACCCCACCAGGCTCAAAAGTCCTCAGTTCCTCTGTGCAAGGCCTATTTCCCCATTGGCCTGGAGCTGGGAAGAGAGGTCAGGGCTGCAAACCTTCCTTTGGCAGTCATTCCTGCTGAAAGGATTTTCACAGGTGTAAATCTTTGAGGACAAAGACTGCAGACAGCATGAGTGCAAAATTTTCTGGATCTGCCTCAGGTCCAGGACATCTCAGGGACCACCCCAAGTGGGACTTCCCTCATCTCTCCCATAACATTTCAGCTCAGTGAAAATGAACTCAAAAGCCACCCTGAAGAAGAAAAGAAAGAGATGTCAGCTTGTACCTGGAAAAACAGCTGAGAGAAAGACAGTGTCTGACCAGGCACCCAGCTTGGCAGTTGCCTGGAGCCAACTCTAGAGGTGTTTTCCCATGGTTGATCCTTCTGCCTACATCCTGTATTTAGCCATTGCTCTTCTTGTCCACTGCTACCATCCCATAACTGACTTGGAGTTAAGAAAGGAGGAGGTGAAAGGACTATTGTGTTACTTAACTCAGCAGTGGTGGGTAGGAAACATTCATATTTAAGAAAGGAAGGTGATTCATATGCAAAATATGTTCTGACGAAGAAAGTTAAGAAGGAGGAAGATACAACAAATTTCCTTCCAACCCACTCTCATCCCCACTACCATTCCACCAAGAGGAGGCCTTGGAGTGGTTTTCAGGAGCATTTGAATAGCTCAGGAAAAAGCAGAACTGCATAAGCTGCAACCCAGTTCACCCAATGTCTCTGCCAAAGAGAAACCATTGACTACCAAGACCACTGAGAAACCTTCTACTCTTGAGGCTCAGGCCAAAGCCCCAGCCCAGGTCCCAGTCAAGGGGAACTTTGCTTTCCTTAATGATTGTTCTCAAGCTCATCCGTTTTAAGAAATCTCAAGAGAGGCATGGGTGGAATGTGAAAGTGGATGTATATTTTCTTAGGACCTTTGGACACATTGTCATCATATGGCACCCCAGTAACCATTCCCAGCCAATTTTCAAAACTGCCATACTTTATTATAATTGTTAGCAGATTCATTTACCAAATGAGTTAAGCCATTATTGGACAGAAATCAAGGCTTTCGGGTGGTGGGCCATAAAGGAAGGACCCAGGGGAACTCTGCCAAATTCTAGGACTGAGGAGGATTGGGCAGCCAGGGGAGTCTTGGAAATCTCCAAGACTCAAAAATTTCTCTTGGGAAATTTTTTCAAAGGAGGCTAAAAAGGAAGAGAAGGGAAAGGCTTGAAACAGATCTGCTTTGCAGCTGTGCCTGCAGAGCAGTGGTCAAACTACCTGCAGAGAAGACCAGGTGTTTTGGGTTTTTGTTGTTATTTTGTTTGGTTTCAGTCAGTCCACTGTGGACTGATACTTTATACGATGCAACATAAGTGAATAGAAAAATTAAGTTTTATAAAAGGCATAAAGAATATATGCCCTGTTTTATGGTTAGACTGAACAGATAATAAGTAGAATTTCATTAACTAAAATAAATTAGTGTGGAGCCCTGATAAATGGCTATAATTTCTTCTAAACTGACTTGGTTTCTGTCCTCAGTTTGCCCCTGGTGGGTGATGAACAGGTCACGGACGGAGACAGTTGGGACCATGTTCTGAGCAGCATGGCTTTAGAGGGCGTGGCTAATGAACGTGATGAAGCAGGTGTCTAGTCTGGTAAAGAAAGCAGCCTAATGGAGAGAACCACACGTGGTCTTTGGGCAGACAGCTGTTCTATGAGGGTCTCCTAAAACATTGGAGGATCAAAAGAGAGAGGAGGGATGAAGGAAAACAAAAACTCTGTGCTCAAAAACAGCATCTCTCAGAGCAGCAAATGAGGACTGCTGAACATCACGCAGCAAAGGCAGACGCAAGGTCCCTGGTTCGAGAAGCCAACCTGGCGCTGAGCACCACCTCACACTCGCTCAGCCCAGCACAGCTGCTGCAAAGCCCCATCCAAAGCAAACACGGCTCTCTCCACAGCAGACTCAACAGAACAAAACCAACACCCAGAAATAAATTGGATCGCCGAGCTCATCACGTTACACAGCTCACTGTTCTCAAATCCAGGATCCTGAATATAATAACAAATGATACTATTAACTGGTCCATCGGTCTGAAGCCAAAAGCAAATAACTCATTACTATAAACCAAATTGATTCTCAGAATTTTCCAGGTCAGCTACAAGAAAGAGTTATGAGACTGTCCTCCCAATTGAACTGAATCTCACCCATGTCTAATTGCAGTGTATATGGCTAAATCCCTTTCCCCCTCTGCAGAGCCAGCTTATCTTTCAGCACGACTAAACCTCAGGGACTTCCCAAGGCAGTGGAGGGATGTGGTCAGGTTGAAAGCAACGATGGAGCCCGAGCCCGGGGCCAGCACATAAGTGTTTAAGAACCGACTCCGCCACCTGCTAGCTCTGTAATCTCCAGCAAGTCTCCATCCACAAAACAAGACTGACGGCCACCTCCCTGGAAATTCAGTTGAAAATGCTTAGCAATTTGGAAAAAGCTAGGTGCATATTAGTCTTCTCTACACAGAAATAAGCAGCTGAGAGATGTTTTTAACCATGCTTCCCAACTCCTCCAGAAATGAAGCTTTGCCTCTTACACAGTTCATTTCCTCCTTAGAGTTCAAACCACTTCCGCAGGTCACACGTTAATTCCCTTATGTGCCCAACATCACTGGGATATAGCAGATAATTGGAATCATCAGGTCCACTTTACAGCTTGGAAAAGTGGCTTATGTGGGATTTCCTTAAGGTACATTAGCAGTGACAAGGATGACTTGAAAATTCATAAGGACATTAGGCTGGCACTAACAAATTGGTTTACATTTGTGGCTTTTCTCATGCTCGCTTCAGCAGCACATATAATAAATTTGTGGCTTTTCTTAATCCGGCTCCTCCTTGTCTCACCCACAGGACTCTGCAACAGGAAGTCACTATTCTACATTTGTTTTGTTGTTAATTCCACTTATTTAACATGCAGAAGAACTTTACTATTGCTGTATCCTTGTAAGGTGAAAACAGGATATTTTTCAAATTCTGTGCTCTGACAGTGTATTTATTGACATACAAATTATTTTGGTCAAGCAAATAATTTGGTTCCAGTTCCATATGCTGTGTAAACTTAGATAAACTACTTAGCCTCCCTGAGCCTGTTTCTTCAGTTGTAATATAATAGTTGACTTGCCTGCCTCGCAAACATAAGAAGACATGAAAACATATAAATAATCATGTAAAGAGAATTTTGAAAATAATTTAAGACACTGCACTTATATAATTAAATTATATAGCATATACCCTTATAATATTGTTTATTATTATTCCTATTGTCTTATGCTAAAAAAGCAACAATTTGGTAGGACTTTCTTGCAACCTGCCAAGTATAACAGCTCTGGACTTCAATTTTCCTTTATATATATATATAAAAGAGGATAGGATGCATACATTTTAGAAAAAAGAAAATAAGTTCTATTAATTCAAGGTAAATCTTGGTCAGTATTTCTGGATTAGGGTTTCAGTGCCAGATTTATCTATTTGTACTCATTTTATGAAATTTGTGCTGATGATCAATATGAAGCACAAATAGAATCTTGTAGAGTCTTAAGTCTAATAGCTTTGGTAGTGAAGGAGAAAGTACCATAGAAAGCCTGGCAAAAGATTATCATCTGTTCTTGGGGAGAATTATGGAATGTGGTCTCTGATTTTTAAAAGATATTATCAATGCCCTGGATAATCACATGATTATTTTCAATTAAAAATGAGTATAAAGGAGAGACTTGGAATTAAAAATATGTTACTCTTGTTCCTCTCTAATATATTATGAAACCTCTCAAAAGTGTAACTAAAATTAATACAATTTTGGTCAAATTTAGAGTAAATAGTATGAGTAAGAATAAGTTTGCTACAAAATATATGGGTTTTTCTGGATGATGTTCGGACTTTACCTAAGCCCTATTACAATGTAATCACAATTTGTGCAAGGTTCCATGTCTCTCCACATAATAAATCTATGTCCAAATTGAAAATAGAGAGAAACCAAATATGATAGGCACCTTTTTCCACCAGGAAAAATAATATGTATTGCCATAGAGCAATGAACATCTTTGGATTCTGTCTGCAACTTTATTAAGTTCTTATCACTTGGATATTTTTTACTTTTTCACCATTTATAACATGAGTACTCATACAGATATTGAAGATAGTTACCTCCTGTAATGAGTTCTTTATTGCATATACATATAAAAAGTGCTAAAACCATAGATCTGGTCTCCTCAAATTGAGAAGCACTTTTAAACATAGGTGTGAAAAACCAACATTCACGTTCCAACACTACTGTCTGGAACACTTGTGGTGAGAAAGATTAAACTTTCAAAGTCAAAGCTCAGTCTTCAGAACCTTCTCCCTTCACCAGTCAGAATATTTCATCTAAGCTTCTTACAGCTATTAAAATGATGAAGTTTTCTTCTTTTCCTCTATTTTTCCTAATTGCTGGAGCTTACATGACTGCACAGTGTAAGTATCTCCTATACCTACCACATCTGTGCATTAAATGAATTTCTAGTGATTGTGTTGTTACTGTTAAATTAAAATGATTTTTCACAACCATGTCTATCCCTCTAAACTTTATTATGACTTATATTTATCATTAAATCATTAAGTTATATACAATTATATATTATTAAGTGTATTATACAATTGCTTATCAGTAAAATTATAATAGCTATTAGGTGATTGTAGTGTTTTTTAAATCTTTGAAATGATATAATGACTGTCAAAAGAATTACATGAAATAATCTTCTTGGATCTTTCATATTAAATCTTTGGGTCTTCTTCTGCAGGTTTCAGCATGGAGATTATTGGAGGGAGAGAAGTGTTGGCACATTCCAGGCCATTCATGGCCTCCATTCAGTACCGCGGCCAACATCTCTGTGGAGGAGTGCTGATTCACCCACAATGGGTGCTATCAGCAGCCCACTGCCGCCCTCGGTGAGTACCTACTCTGGGCTTGTGTGTTTTACCTCCACCGGCTAGAAGCGAAGCTCACTTCTCCCAGAAGAGAATTATGTTTCTAACATTCTAAGTTTAATGAGCACAGTAATGTTTGATGAACAGGGATGTAATGTCAAGGGGTATGAATAACAGTTCCATCATACATATATGTGTATTTCTTTCGTTGAAATATAGTTGTCATATCATATTAAAATTAATTTCAGGTATAAAACATAGTGATTCAATAATTATGTTCATTATGATAGGCTCACCGTGATTAAGGGTATTATTGACTCAATTCCCTGTGCTGTATTTTTCATCTCTGTGACTTCCTTATTTTTAACTGGAAGTTTGTAGCTCTTAATTATTTGCCCATTTTGTTCATCCTCCCACTCCTGCCTGCTGGCAACCACCACTTTGTTCTCCGTATTTGTGAGTCTGTTTCTCTCTTTTTTGTTGTTACTGTTTGTTTTGTTGTTTTGTTTTGTTTTTAGGTTCCACATATAAGTGAAATCATATGGTATTTGTCTTTCTCTGGCTTTTTTCTTCAAGCATAATGTCCTCTAAGTCCATCCATGCTGTGGTGAATGGCAAGATTTTGATCTACTCTCAGCTTCTCTAATTACTGATCAACAGATGGAGTTTACTTTCTCTCTTGCACATCCGAGTTTTCATTTTCAAGGAGATCTGGGCACTTCTCCCAGGCAGGCCATTGGACAGATCCAAGTCCTCTGTGGAGGGCCAGGGAAGGCAACAACAATGGTAGGAATTGGAGCAGCGGTGTTCCTGACCTCATAAGGCAGCCTGGGTTTGCACCTCTACTTTCCCATTTTACAAAAGGAGAATGATAATAGTAGTTCCTGCTTCATGGGGTTTGGAGAATTAAATAGTATCTATTTGAATATTTTAATATGCTTAGCATACAGTAAGCACAAATAAGTTGCAGCTGTTATTGCTATATGTAGGAGAAGCCTGCTTTGTTATAGATTTTTAGACCTCTTATGTTAACTCCTATGCCCCACCTCCCACCCCAGAGGCCTGAGGCCCACAGTTTGGGAATCACAGCTGTAAGGGGGCAACAAGCTTCCCAGCAGGCTAAAAAAAAAAGTTATAGATGATTTCTACAAGGAAAGAAAGATCTATTTCCCTGAGATGCTTAGAACAGAAACTTTCTCAAAGTACATTTCAGTCTGCGATTCTCTTACCCCAGCTAAAAAAGTCCCAAATTCTTGGGAAACTGCAACCTTTACAAAAGGAAAAGCCATAATAGTTTGCTTGCCAGGCTATGGAACAACTGAATTGATTTGTTTCTCCATGTCGATTGCCCCCATTTTAATAAGACTAGTCACAAATTTAGAAATTTTGAAGCTTGCAGAAAGTGAGAATTTCTGCTTTATTTCTAAATAGCAAGCTACTAATCTCCAGCTTAATATGGCTACTTCATTCAAATGGAGTTTTAGCTGTCATAGAAATCACTATTGTGTCCCTATCATTTCTGTCCCTTTTAGAGCACTTGTCTCCCGGGGACCAGCCAGACAGAGGGTGACTATCAAAAAATGTTCATTCATTTCAAAATACGTACATCTTCAAATATCCTTACAGCACACATTCAGGTGGATTCTAACTTCCCCAGACACAGACCTTGACTTATTATAAATGTTCAACAAAGGCTGGATAGAAAGAAGAAGATAAATCAGAGGACTTTCTTTTTTTTCTAAGCCATAAACACAGTGTGTGAAGTCCTTCACAAGCCAATAAAGTGCTATCCAAAAGTAAATAATATTATTAATTTGAATTTAAAATTTTGTCAAGTGAACTTGACTTGATAGGAGTGCGTCCTCAAACTGACAAATTGGGGAAAAGAGATCTTGGAATAAAAAAAAAAAAAAGAAAAAAAGAAAAGAAAAACCAACTCTTGCTAAATACCATTTTAAATGGCCAGAGTTTAAAGAACTCCAGAATATGTGGATCAAATTTCCTCTCCAGGACACTTGGGTGTAAAAATGTAGGCGGTTTGGTGCTTGGAAAAATATTAAGCTTTATGAAATCCAAAATATTTATGAAATAGTTTAATGGTGGCTTCCCACAAATGTACTCCCAAGTATCCTGGGGGAATAGCTTACTAACTCCAGGCTCAGCTCTCATGGTGAAGGAAGCCAAATCTGAGGTGCCCCCTTCTCTCTACCCATCCACGCAGTCCTTACTGCATCTCTTGGCCCTTCTATTTAGTTGCCTTGCCAACTATAAAAGGAAACCCATTAAAAAACTTCTTGTCTAATCTTTTCAACATTTCAATTTATCAGAAGCAAAACTTTCACCAGTTGTTTTCCACTGTCTTCCTGAATTCCCCACACACACTGAGCCCCACTTCTCTCACCTACCTGGGCTATAAATTAGATGAACTGGCACAGCCCCTTTCATGTGGCTTCACCCCATCTCAGACCACTCAGGGCATCCAGAGTGGAATGGTGAAGGTTCAGGCCTGGGCTCAAACCAGATGAGCTGCAATCCCACTTGTATTTGCATCCTGGAGCCTCCCCTTAATATCGATGGGGCTTTCTCAAGTTTGTGAAGTTACCTGAGCATCAGTCTTCTCATCTGCAAAGTGGGGATAATCCTAATATTGAGGGACAATATGTAAACTGTTAGTACAAAACATGGCACAGCAGAGCAACATAATAACTTTTATATCATGTCATCATGTTATTATCTGTACCTTCCATGGTAGTCACTGAGGCACAAGTCTGATGACCAAGGCATGTTGAGGATGGGACTGTAACAATCCCTCTCTGACAGCCAAGTAATTCCTTCCACTCTTAGACTAAAAAGACCTCCAGGGAGTAAGGACTCTGTCTTTGTCAGCCCTGGAGGAGTGGGCCAAAGCAGAAACACAGCTCAGTGTCAAGGTAAACTGGCAGAGGAAATAAGGGGCCTGATGGGGCTTGGCATGGGGCTTCCAGAAGTTTCATGGAAAAGAACACTGGACTTGGAATCACAAAAGCTCGGTTTCCCTACTTATCATGTGTGTCATCTTTGGCCAAAGAACTCTTCCATCAATTAGGGCTATACAGTACATCAGCTTGAACAACACTGTGAAAGGGTTCTTTTTAGGCCCAGTAGAAATGATGTTTTGGGGTACCTGGATGGCTCAGTGGGCTGACTGTCTGCCTTCTGTTCAGGTCATGATCTCTGGGTCTTGGGATCAAGTCCGGTATTGGGTTTCCTGATCAGTGCGGAGTCTCCTTCTCCCTCTGCTCCACCCTCCTTATTTGGTGCTCTTTCTCTCTCTCTCAAATAAATAAATAAAATCTTAAAAAAAAAAAGAAATGATGTTTCAGTAGATAGAAAAAGATTATTTAAGCAACACCTTGATTCCTGCTCTACATGTAGTTTTGTTCTAGGTAAGTCCAGGGTGGAACTCAGAAAGCTGCATTTTAAACATGCATCTCCAGATAATTCTGAAACAAAGACCACCCGCGGAGAAACCCTACAATAAACAAATGAAAACACTGCTTTATTACTTCTCTGTGTGAATTCAGACCTGTGTTTAGCTAAGGAGGTGGCATCCTAGAACTCAGGTAATTCCAGGTATCCTGTGGGGAGAAAAATTGACCTTCGTAGTATAGATTACAGCTGAAGTGTATCAGGAAATGGAAAGTCCAAAACCATTCATGGTCTGTTTGCATTGTTTTGAGTAGTAACATGTCCCAGTGGAGAGAAAAATAACCAAAATATTTCAAAGGCATTAACTAATCAAGGAAATTGACAAAAGATGAGGAAAACCAAAAATTTTCTCAGCATCCATCCCCTAATCAAAATTCATCTTCTACACCCGCATTTATACTCCACAGCCATCCTTGTGTTCATTATTTATGCATGTATCCATCTTTTCTGTTAAAGCAGTAGTCCTGGGGATTTGTTATCATTCTCCACTGTCCCCTCCCCCCAAAGTTTGGGTTTCATGAGTATGTTGAATTTGAGTTTAAATCAATCCTAGGAAATCTGATCCACATCCTTTGAGAAATTTCATCCCCATCCTGATTTTGCAATAGGCAAACTTTTCAACAAATAGAGCTGAAATTCCCAAAATAGACCAAAATAAACTCTTTTGGTAGAAACTGAAGAGTGGTCATTCCCAGCAGAGCCCTACCATATGCAAACCTACCCCATTGTAGTCCTGAGCTTATTTTTCAAACCTGATACAACACTTTCTTCTTTTTTCTGTATGTTTCTGTGGCTTTTAATTCCTATTAATCTTTAATCTGAGTGTGTGAATGAATGTGTGTGTTTATTTATTTTAATTTAAAAAAAATTTTTAGATGTTATTTATTTACATATGAGAGACACAGTGACATAGGCAGGGGGAAAAGCAGGCTCCTCGGGGGGAGCCAGATGTGGGACTCCACCTTGGGACCCCGGGATTGCCCCTCTGAGCCAAAGGCAGATGCTCAACCATTGAGCCACCCAGGTGCTTCTGTTTTTATTTTTAATTGAAGTATGGTTGACATACAATATTATGAGTTTCAGATGTATAACATAGTGATTTGACAATTACGCACATCATGAAATACTCACTATGAGTATACTCACATACTGTCATGAAAGTTATTGCAATACTATTGACTATATTCCCTCTGCTGTACTTTTCAACCCCTTGAGTTATTTTATTTTATTTATTTATTTTTTTTAGAGAGAGAGACAGAGAGACAGAGAGACAGAGACACAGGCAGAGGGAGAAGCAGGCTCCATGCACCGGGAGCCTGACGTGGGATTCGATCCCGGGTCTCCAGGATCGCGCCCTGAGCCAAAGGCAGGCGCCCAACCACTGCGCCACTCAGGGATCCCCCCCTTGAGTTATTTTATAACTGAAATTCTGTACCTCTTAATTCCCTTCACCTATTTTGCCTATCCGCCCACCCCTCCCCTCTGTGACCACCAGTTTGTTCTATGTGTCCGTGAATCTGTTTCTGTTTGTTCATTTGCTTTGTTTTTTTTAGATTCCACATATAAGCAAAATCCTATGGTTTTTGTCTTTCTCCGTCTGACTGGGTATGGAAGTTTTTAATGTAATCTATCTTGATCCCTTTTCCAAGTGACAATGAAGCAGTTAAATGTAAACGAGTGTAAGTCTTTTTAGAATCTTCCCTGCTTTCTAACGGATTTGTAGCTGATTCCTAATGGCACACATCAAAATGGGATTTTTTTTTATAGTATGCTGAATGCCCCAAGGTGTTGTCAAGATCTCAAAAAAACTTATTTCTATTTTCATAACTAGAGGTAAATATAATTTTGTTCAACATGCAGTGAATCAAATCAGTTGTGGCACTATCAAAACACTGGTACTGGAGCTGTATATTACTGGGGTAAGACAAAACAAAACAAAACAAAACAGAAAAACATCTGTTGTTTCTTTATCTTACTCATCTTTTTATATCCTCTAAATTTCCACAATGGAGTTATCAGTGGCTACTAACCCTACAGTATCTATATTTCAAATCAGGAGTGATTTTTCACCTTGAGGAAAGCTTTCTATCCTTGTCTGAATTATCTTTCTAATTAACAGGACAGAACATAGCTTATCTGACAGCCACATAATGGATCTTATTCCCCATGATGCCCTGGGTTGAGGTCTGGATATACCAGATTAGCAAATGCACAGTTGAGTCTTTACCTTTTAGTTACTAAAACAGTTAATGTTGAGAAGATGAAAAAGTTCTGGAGATTGATGGTAGTGATAAATGACCAACAATGTCAATATATTTAATGCCATGGAACTGTGCATTTAAAAATGGTTTAAGTTATAAATTTTATGTTCTGTATATTTTACCTTAATTAAAAATTAACAATGGTGGGTATAAATCTCAACCCACAACTTGAGAAACATAATTTCATTTTACATATATTAATATAATTTTGTTGTAAACTTGATATCAGTCAATTAGAATTTTACTTCTTTTCCCCACAGTAGGATATAAGTAGGATATAAGTCCTGATATTCTTTTGCGATACTAGGGAAGCGGGGTGGGTCTGAGAGAAAGTCTTTTGGCCTTTGATATCATTCATTCATGCTTGGGTCCACTAAGACCTCTGTCACTCCACCTAATCCATATAGGTTACCTTGGAGATGGTCCTTGTTCCTGTATGTCTTCCACCATTTCTCTTCCTCACTAGGCTATTTGGGATTTGATCTATTACTTCTATTCTTTCTTTTTTTAGGCATGAAAAAGTCCAGTTTTTCAAAGTGATTTTAGGAGCACACTCTCTCTCAAAGAATGAAGCCTCCAAACAAACATTTGAGGTTGAAAAATTCATACCATTCTCAAGATTAATATCACATCATAAGTCAAATGACATTATGCTGATTAAGGTATGTAGTGTTGCCTTCCTTCCATTTCTCCAGCATTCTTATACACCATAGTTCAGTTGTTACATAAAAACATTTTGTTAGCACCAGCCACATGTTTGAGGTAATTGTGACATATCCTGGAAGGGCCCATTTTACTCCACATACTGCTTTGAAAGAAACAAGAATTTATCACCAATGCATCAGGTCTGTGTTTAAACAAGGAAAAGCAGCCCTGATGCTCATATATGTGGGAGGGAACATCCCAACAAATCCAAGGATCCCCCTTTGAAAGCCTTTTTCCCAAGTGCTTTTATCATTAACAAATAAAAAATACAAGTCCTATATGCAACAGAGACAAGTGAATTCAGGGACACATAAGTGAGTTATAACTTAGTCTAGACCATACTTAGTTTAGTTCAAACTTAGTCTAGACCATACTCAAGGGTCTTATCCTGCAGGAAACAGCCCAGCCCTCAAAGTCATGACCTATGGATGTTATTCCACAGAAAACCATCCAATGCAGAGCAAAGGCCAGTTTGCTTAAGACTGGGCAAAATTCCTGCTCTGTCTAAGCTCCCTCCCCGAGCATCATTGAGCTCTACAGGGGTTGGAGAGCATTTCAGAAAAGCAACAACCACAAATACAGCTGCAGGCTACCACCAAAGTAGATTCAAGAAGAGGGATGCCTTCCTAGACCAGAGGGACCACACATATATTGCTCAGACTAATAGCAGAATACTACTGGGAATGAATGATCATTTATTCTCTTTTCAATCTGTCAGCTTCACACGGCTGCAACGCTTGACAAATATGTCCAGCTGCTCCACCCAAGCTCCAAAAATGATATCAGAGCTGGAACAAAATGCCAGGTTACTGGCTGGGGAGCCACCGACCCACAATGTTTAAGGATCTCTGATACCCTTCGCGAAGTCACTGTTACTGTCATAAATCGAAAACTTTGCAACAGCCCAAGTTATTACAACCACAACCCTATTATAACTGCAGACATGGTATGTGCAGGAGACACCAGAGGCCAGAAGGATTCCTGCCAGGTAAGAGTCTGCCAGTGAAATAGGCATCTCAGAGCGCTGGGCTATATGCAGTCAAGGCTCCATTTGCTCCCTAGCACAAAGGAGAGGGACAGAGAACACAAAATCACAACTCCAGAGAGTTCCTCTCCAGTCCTGCACTGAGTTCTCTGTTCTTTCTCATCTACCAGTGTGAACAACTCATAAGAACGTCCCCAACACATAAGTACTCATTCAATGTCTGTTAATCAGGATGACAGACTATATCTGATAATGTTTACAGGCTTCTTCTGGGGGATGTCACAGTCCTTAGAAAGCCTAACTTTGGCTGAGGTCACTAGTGGTGACTGAAAGATAACTCCCTCTCTGCGCCCCTCCCCCCAAACCCACCATTCAGGGTAATCAATAGAGAGGTGTTGGAAGGCTCAAATGCAAGAAGCTCAAATATATAGTGTGTGTTTCTTTTCTTTTTTTTAAAGATTTTATTTATTTATTCATGAGAGACACACAGAGAGAGAAAGAGGCAGAGACACAGGCAGAGGGAGAAGCAGGCTCCATGCAGGGAGCCCGACATGGGACTCGATCCTGGGACTCCAGGATCACACTCTGGGCTAAAGGCAAGCGCTAACCCGCGTAGCCACCCAGGGATCCCCTCGTGTGTGTTTCTTAAATAACGTTGACACATTGACTAAAAGGAACAGGAGTCATACTTTTCAGAATCTTTTGTTTCCTGAGGCAGTAAAACAACATAGGTGTTTGTGATTACAGGTGACAAATCACACAGATGGATTGATTACTAATTTTTAAGGAATTAGAATGCACTATTCACATCATACTGTATGAAGCATTGTCGAGCGGAGAGCATGGTGATTTTAAAGATCACGTGTATCTGCTGTGCCCCAAGATTGTCATACCCCTAAGCCTCTGTTTCCATGGCAACCAGACCACAAAGTGCTGCAGTTCACAATGTGAGTGACAGCAGAGGCAAAGGCTGCTCTTCAGATTTGAAAGCCCCCTCCTATCACCCTGTGATTTTCCTTGACAGAATTTTAGTTACATGTTTAGTTCTGAGTCCTCAAGAATCAGTTCACTGAGGATGGATTTACGAGGTGCTGTGTATGTGCAGAACATTATGTTCAATTATAGGTGAATGCAAAAACAGGATAAAAAATAAGAGTCCCTGACACCAATGTATTTACTACGATACATTTCTCTTTTCTGCCCGTCTCAGTAGCAACTTGGTGTCAGCTCTGTGAGCACCAAAATGAAGTTCACAACTTAAACATTTCTTTCATTTCAGTGAATTACTTTAAACTTTCTATCTACTCATTCCTTAATGAATAAAGTTCTATATCATTGATTACCGATCTTTGTATACATATGTAATCCTACAGAGACAGGGACATGGACAGAGAGATAGACAAACACACAGACAGATGGATGGAAATATGGTCCTAGACAGACACAGGGATGTAGAGACAGACAGACAGATGGACAGAATCATTGCCCTGGCCAGAGACAGAGACAACCCACACTGAGTAAGGGGCTGTATCGGACACTTTTCAGGACACAGGGAAACCAAGGACCCACATAACAATCTTTTGAGTAATGAGTCATTGATGGCAGAAAAAGTTCAACAGCTTCTCACCAAATATCTATTTTCTTCTTTTCTAGGGTGACTCAGGTGGCCCTTTGGTTTGCAAAGGTGCCTTCTATGCTTTAGTCTCTGCAGGTCGTGAATGTGGTGATGCCAAAAAGCCTGGAATCTACACCCTAATAACCCAGAAATACCAGGCTTGGATTAAAAGCAAGCTTGAGCCACCTCATGCAGACTATGACCACAAATGATTTTCTTGGATCCACCAGTTGCTTCTTTTGTTTTCATAAGATGTTCTAGAGACCACCTTTGTCTTCCTATGTAGCGGTATGTAAAGTGGAGCACAGCTACGGTCCACTCCTATTCCTTTAGGACTGATTTTGTCAAGGAATCAAGTTCTTTTTCATATCTGTAACTGCTGTGTTTTTACTCTGCTGATTTCATTCTGAATAAAATTAGACTATGTCCTTGTCTTTTATGGAAACGGGATACAGCAAATGATATGCTCCCCTCTCCACTCACACTCCCCCAGAGGGCAAAAGGTGATTAAACAAACCTTCAGCCAGGCACCACCTGCAACCAGGTTTATGTTGTGATTTCTGCTGTGATTTACCCTAAACTGCGTTTTTAAATTAAGAAACAGTAAATTCAAACACCCCAATTCAAGTGAAGAAAAAATCATCAAGGTTTATACAAATTTTAGGATAGTACTTATTATTTATTTCTGTCACACTTTGTTCCACACAGGATTTGAGGCAAAGTACAAAAATACCTGCCATAAAACCAAATATGAAATTAAAAATATTTTCCCCAAAAAATTAAAAGTAGAAAATGTTATATGATCCAGAAATTCCACTGCCAGGTATTTATCTGAAGACAATGAACACACTAACTTGAGAAATTATCTGCACCCCCATGCACACTGCAGCATCATTTACAATGGCCAAGATATGGAAGCAAGTTAAGTGTTCATCGATGGAAGAATAGATAAAGAAACTGTGAGATATATATATAATATTCAGTAATATACAATGTATAGTATATTATACATATATGTATAATGCATATATAATTATATATTATATATTGTATATTATATATTCAGCCACAAAAAAAAGGATGAAATCTTGCCATTTGTGACAACATGGATGCAACTCGAAGGCATTATGATGAGTGAAATAAGTCAGACAAAGACAAATATCCTATGATCTCCCTTATAAACATCAGCTTCAGGCTCATAGATACAGAGAACAGATCAGTGGCTGCCAGAGGTGGAGCTGGGAGATGGGAGAAATGGGTGGTGAAGGGGGTAAAAAGGTAGAAAAAAAAAATATATATATATATATATATATATTTAAAATTTGGTGAAGAAACAGAAAACAGGGAGAAATGAGACCTTTGAAGAAGGAGAAGATGAAGACAGAACTGTTAATAGTCAAAGGGCCACTATTTTCTTCCCATATTATTGCTAGAAGGAGCCATATTTGCCTCTTAGGCTTCACTTGAATCAATGCAAAAAGAGCAACACAATCGGTTATATGAATCACAGTATCCAGGAAATAAAAATAAATGTATTTGCTGAGACATAGGATCACTGGTGCTGGCACGGGGCCTGGAGATAACTTTTTTGGTTATCTATGTTGAAAGATGCTGTGCCAGGGCTCCCACGTCCCTACGGACTGCATCAGATCACTTGAGAAGATAGTTTTGTAACACATGTGGCCCCTACCCCTTGCTCAGAAGTTCAGATTGAATGGGCTTGAGGTGGGCTTGGAAATCCTCACTGTTTAAAAGCAATTCAAATGATTCCGATAAATGGGCAAATCTGAAAGCCATTGATAATGAACATCCTTAAAAATGTCTACGAGAAAGAACAATATGTATCATGGGATTGTTCCTTTATAAGCCCTTCAGCGTGAACTGAGGCCTGCAGACCAGGGTGCCATTCAGTAAATGCCTTGGAGAGTCTCATCATCATCCTTGACTGTCGCCGCCCGGTGATTAGAGTCCTGACAATTTCTAATCTGACCACAGTGAACATTCGAGCTTTTTCTTCAACAGCTAGAAACCAAAGGGTTATTCTCAGCCTCTATATTTCATTTGGGCTTTCTAGGTGCCACCATTGGGTTTTCTTACATTCGTATAAAAGTGGATGCTTTTATTTGTTTTTGTTATGGTTCTGAGAAACCATTCACCAGGATTACTCCACTAGAAATACTTGACAAGTGGAAGCACTGGGTTAAAAGAGAACCTAATTAAAATCAAAACTACTATGAAAGTAAGTAAAAAGAGTTAAAAAAGTTAAAATCAAAACTACTATGAAAGTAAAAAGAGTTAAAAAAGTTAAAAAAAAAAAGGTACTTTCAGTATTTCATTTTGTATCATTCTGACTCATTAAAAATAAACTGATTTTGACCCAGAAATCCCAGGCTATCTTTCCTAAGAAAAGAAAGGGGAAGTTAGAGAGACTCTGGACTCACCATAAAAAAAAAAGTATTATATTTTTCATCTAAATTACAAATCCATGGAATATATAGTTGCAAGTCTCTTTAATCTAGCAAAAGGAAGGGTGAGTTTCCCTCTAGTTGCAGTTTGTAAGTATCCTGAAAAGTTTCACTAAAATCTGAGACTTGTTTTGATTTTAGACTCCATGCTGTTCGTATCCAAGAGTCAAACCAGATAAGACTGCCAGAGAGGAAGCTTCTGTCAACAGCTATAGCAGATCTGGTGACTCTTAAATTGGAAGATAAACAGTTTATTTTGACAAGTAGCTGATGATGGAGCCCACAATTGAAAAATATTGCTCATCTTCTCAGGGAAGTAATATTTTATTAAAGATACCAAAGTCTTCCCAACCTAGCCTAAAAGAATATGGTGTTTTAGTTTGGGAAAGTCTGTCTTGGAGACATTATTTGATTCCATCTATGACCTCAAAGAAAAGTTGAGTGTCAAAATGAGGTAAATGTCTAGATTTTGAAAATTGCTCAGAGAATTTAGGGGAACATAATTGGCTGTTGTCATTCTAAATTATCCCACTTTTCCCCTTCTTCGTGACTGTGTACAGAGCACATTTGCCTTCTCCTCAGACACTGAAAAAAAAGCTTCATGCTTTATTTTATGTCCAACTAGTTTTAATAGAAAATGACAGCCCTAAAAACAATCAGGACAATATCATGCATAAAATAAATCAAGATGAATTCAGGTGAGTGCCTAACCAGTCTAGAACCAGGTAGCAGATTTAGTCCTATCCTTTTTTTGCACATAATAAATCTCCATTTACCCTGAAATGTTAGGAAAAGCAGTGCTTCACACTTGATTGCTTCAGAAAGGTATCTCATTAAAGGAAAGAACTGCTCTCATTCTGTCAGAGACCCTCTTCCTCTTTGACTAAGCTCTCGGTTTATGACGGGGCACACACGTGATGGAGAAAAGAGACTGTTCAACTTGTCTAAGACCAATGCTCAGATCTCTCTGAAGCTTACAATTTCATGAAATTACTGAGGCACAACGCACAGCTACTCATACGTTGTCTTAGGAGACATTTGAGTATCAAGTGCATGCTGGCTGAACAGGTGGGTTCCATGTATTGAATGACTAAGCCCAGCTTTTAAGGTTTCACACATTGACTTCCTGTTTACTAACCTTAACTTGCTCAGTCCTTTTGGTGAATTACATCAGTCAACTCCAGATTGGCATGCAAAGATTGTGTTCAAGAAGGGTCTACACTGAGGCTTCTCTTGAAAACTCAGGAGTAAGTAGAATGAAATTGTCCTTTGAAAGTTAAAATTTAAACTTCATATATATTGTCTCAGGGCAGAGATCCACAAGATCACTCTGAAGAGTTGGTGAAGTTCACAAGCCTGCTAGACTGCCTGCAATCTGTCTGAAGATTAACAATTCTCCAGATGAGCATCCCAGTCTGAAGGAAAGGAGGATAGCCATGGATACAGGGAAAAGCAGGCAACACAGGCAGTGGACCAACCAGAATTGATGAGGAAGGGAGGAAGGCGAGCCCTTAGACTTCCAAGCCCATGCTCAAGTTAGCCTGATTTCACTAAGCATTCAGCTGACCAACTTGGCCTTTTTCTAATCCCATGCTCATCAACCAAACTTTTGTGAGCACTCTGTTCCCTCCCTGTGACAGTTATTTCTTATTACAAATTAATAAATATTGTGATTTTCCACATCTGTGATATTTTTTTTAACCTTTAAATTAGGGTTATTTGAATTTCTCTTCAAGGGTCAAATTCACTCTCTGTGCTGGTAAGAATCAAGGTTCAATCCCTGCAGTAATGAAGGTCAAACCCTGAACTTTGGTAAATTCACCAGCGTAATGAATATTAACTACCCCATGAGACTTTTCAACAGATCAACAGCCTGCCTTTCCCCTAGAGAGTACTCTTGGCCTCCCTGCTCTGGCCACAGGCATGAAATGTGCTCACACTTGGAGTATCTATACATACATTAGCCCATTAGTCCCTGATTATCCAATAACTCCAAGAAAAATTATGGTTTTTTAGCTGTGTTCTGTCTGGTTCGTCCAGTAGCAGAGACTTGCTGGTTTGCTATTCATCAGCCATCTCCTCTCTTCTCTGATAACAAAACTTAAATTTTCTTTGGGGCCACAAATGTACACAGCTTAAAAATGGTGTTTTCCAGCTTCTTTCACTGCTAGAAGTGGTCAAGGAGATGTAAGTGAAAATCACCAGCTGAGAACTTCCAGGAAGTTCCTTTAAAGAGAGCTGGTTTAGTAGGAAGGACTGCCCTTTCCCCCTTCCTTCCTCCTACTACCTTGTTTGCAGATGTGGTGGCTAGAACATCAGCAACAATGTTGGAACCATGAGGCAAATTTGAATGGAAGCTAAATGTTTATGGCAGTGAAGCAAAAAGAAGGAGCCTTTATGGCAATCCTGTACTCTTTACCTAAGGAATTCTCTTACATGAAAGAAAAGAAACACTTTTGCTTAATCCACTATTATGTAAAGTTTTCTGTTAAATATATCTCCACTCAATCCTACCAGATGAAATCAGAAACTTAATATTTCTATACCTGATGTATGCTCTAAACAATGATGAGCATGTCTTTATGTCCTTATGCCCAGATCCTCCAAAATCCCAAATGACTTTAGCTTTCCACCTTGTCCTATTTTTTTTAAGATTTTATTTATTTATTCATGAGAGACATAGACAGAGAGAGACACACAGAGATAGAGAGAGAGGCAGAGACACAGGCAGAGGGAGAAGGAGGCTCCATGCAAGGAGCCCTATGTGAGACTCAATCCCAGGTCTCCAGGATCAGGCCCTGGGCTAAAGGCGGCACTAAACCGCTGAGCCACCCGGGCTGCCCATACCCTGTCCTATTTAAACAAGAATTGATTCAGAAAAGTAGTTTTTAAATGCTATCATCAATAAATCATTTCTCCCTCACTGTTCCATGCTGTGGCTTATCA